ATGATGTTGATGATGATGATGATGACGGTGATGATGATGATGATGATGATGATGCTGATGATACATGATACATGATGCATGATACATGATACATGATACATGGTATATGGTTCATGATATGATATATATATATATATGTAATGATGATGTTCTCTTAGGGAAGATAATGATAAACCATGGGATTTAGGGAACATGGTTGATGTAATATGGTGAATGATCCCGTAATCAAAAATGACGCGACATGATCATCCACTAATCCCCTCGCCCTACAACAAACAACAAGAAATCATGGTTTAGTCGAAAATGTACATATATTTATTTGGGACCATGTAGATAGGGTGTGCTTAACATTGGGGAGATGGGACCGTACAATACTGATGACCAATCTACTGACCTAATCTCTTTATCTACTTAACTCTATATTTCCAAAGAATACTGTTTTCCGGCCAGCACGCCAGACGAGAGGCAACTGGAAAGATTTCCCATCGCAGTAAGAATTCGCTGATGCGCCACACGCGCCGCTGTCTTGAGCCATGGAGATTGCCCATTTATAATGTGCCACGGAACAGCCACACGCTGTAATGACCCTTGCCCAATATTAATTGGAATAGGCTGGAATATAATATGCACAATCCATCCCGCGAATATTACATTTCCCCTATATGGGCCCATGAACGAACAGGTGCAATACAAACCGAGGTATTATATGGGATATGAAGGGCGAGAGATGTATGTATATATCTATTTATAATACAACAGTAGTACCGCACAAGGACGTGACTTGTTGTGAATCACGGATGGCAGAGCGAATCCACTGATGGACCGACAGGTGGTTGAAGTTGTGTTTTTTGGAGTGGTTGCAATGGTTGCAGTGGCCACCTCACCACAACTGCTGGATGTAGTGTGGTGTAGTGCAGCTGTAGTTGCAGTGTAGTGTAGCGGAGTTGTAGTTGTAATGTAGTGTGATTGGTGTAGTGTAGATGCAGTTGCAGTTGTAGCCGTGGTGTGGTGTACTTGTGTAGTGTTGTGTAGTGTTGTGTAGTGTTGTGTACTGTACTGCGGTATAGTGTAGTGTAGTCTGGTGTAGTGTAGTGTAATATAATTAGCGCAGTGTAGTGTAATATAATTAGTGTAGTGTAGTGTAGTGTAGTGTAGCGTAGTGTAATGTAGTGGTAGCTACAGCTGTAGTTGCAGTTGTAGTTGTAGTTGTAATGCAATGTAATCAGTGTAGCGTAGTGTTGTGTAATGTAGTGTAGTTGTAGTTGTATTTGTAGTTGTAGTGTGCTGCAATGTAATTTGTGTGTAATGTAGTCTAGTTGTACTTGTAGTTTTAGCTGTGGTAATGGCAGTTGTTGTTGTAGTTGTAGTGTAATTGGTGTAGTGTAGTGTAATTAGATGTAATTAGTGTAGTGTAGTGTAATGTAAGGTAGCATAGTATATGTAGTTGCAGCAGTAGTGTAGTGTAGTGGTAGTTGTAGTTGTCTATCTATCTATCTATCTATCTACCTACCTAGCTAGCTAGCTAGCTAGCTATCTATCTATCTATCTGTCCATCTTTCTTTCTATCTATCTTTCTATCTTTCTATCTATCTATCTGCAAGCTTGAAAACGCAGCAAATTCTGCGAGACTTCCTCAATTTTTGAAGTTGGCAACCTCAAAAATGAAGCAATTCTGCGAGACTTCCTCAATTTTTGAAGTTGGCAACATCAAAAACGAAGCAATTCTGCGAGACTTCCTTCAATAATGGAAAGTTGAGCGCAGAGCTGGCGGCCTCGTACCAATGCGTTTTGCGATTTTTCCAGCCTATGTCTCTGAAGTATTGCGCCTGCCACTAAAGTGATGCCAGCTGTCACACAAAACCATTTTCCCAAAACTGAAGATCTGATGCGGCGCCCTGACCTCCTAACATCTCTGATGGACATGTCTCTTGTATTGCGCCTGCCAGGGAAAATGCATCTTTCCAGATCCTCTTCAAATGTCCCACGCCTGCCAACGTTTTTGGAAATGCGACAAAACCCTCGCGTTTTGCTCACTTTTGACAAGGTGCACAATCCCTGGCGCCTGCCATGCAAAACGACATCTGAACGTCCAAAAGTGTTCCGTACCCCTCAGTTTTTTGTACTTTCGACTTCGAAATGTGCGTCGCGCCACAACAGCGTGCACTTTTTCGACATCGCAACTTCCAAAAGTGGTCCGGAGCTGCTCCGGAGCTCGTGTGTCTTGTACATTTTGACTCGGAAATGTGTTTCGCATCACAACGGCGTGCACTTTTTCGACATCTCAACTTCCAAATAGTGGTCCGAGAACGGTGTGTTTTGTAATTTTGCGTTCGAAATGTGCTTCGCGCCACAACTGCGTGCACTTTTTCGACATCTCAACTTCCAAAAGTGGTCCGGAGCTGGTGTGTTTTGTACATTTTGACTTGGACATGCGCTTCGCGCCACAACTGCGTGCACTTTTTCGACATCTCAACTTCCAAAAGTGGTCCGAACATGGTGTGTGTTGTACATTTTGACTTGGAAATGTGCTTCGCACCACAACTGCGTGCTCTTTTTCGACATCTCAACTTCCAAAAGTGGTCCGGAGCTGGTGTATCTTGTACATTTTGACTTGGAAATGTGCTTCGCGCCACAACGGCGTGCACTTTTTCGACATGTCAACTTCCAAATAGTGGTCCGAGAATGGTGTGTTTTGTACATTTTGACTTGGAAATGTGCTTCGCGCCACAACGGCGTGCACTTTTTCGACATCTCAACTTCCAAAAGTGGTCCGAACATGGTGTGTGTTGTGCATTTTGAGTTCGAAATGTGCTTCGCGCCACAACGGCATGCTCTTTTTCGAGATCTCAACTTCCAAAAGTGGTCCGGAGCTGGTGTCTTGTACATCTGGCCAGATGGCTCCGCACCCGCCGCTTTAGCGAGCCTACTTTTCGACCCTCCGGAGCCGCAGATCATTCAAAAAACACAGTGTTTCGCGACTTTGCTACCTTTTGGCGCACCTGCATCTTCTTTCTTCTGACTCTTTCGTTTCTCTGATCTCTCTTCTTCTCTTCTCTTCTCTTCTCTTCTCTGACTCTTCCCACCTCTCCTTTTCCATCTGTCTATATTGTCGGAATTTTGACTTCTAAACTTCCTTCGTTTAATGTAGTTATATATATATATTATGTATAATTAAGTAATAAGATATAAGATATAATAATATATATATTAGTTCAATAGTATTTAATTATATAATTATACGATTACATCTCAATACATATATTACATAAGTATCAAGTACAGTACCTACTTACGAGAAAAGGGGACCCCCCTTGGGGCCCAAGGGATCCTTTTGCCCTCCCGTCATGTCGAAAATTGGACCTCCGAGATTTCATGGCCATCTGTTGGTGGTTGACCTACCCCTCTGAAAAATGATGGAGTTCGTCAGTTAGGATGATGACATTCCCCATATATGGGAAAATAAAAACTGTTCCAAACCACCAAGCAGCATATCATCATCCAGTGGATTTAAAGTTGGAGATAGAATGTTTTTTCAGACGAACCCACCATGTGTGATTTTTTTTGTAATTTGGTATAGTTTGTTGCTTGGAATGCCCAATGTTCTTTCACTGACCTCCCTGTTTTTGCTGATGATACTCCACATGTTTGCCATAATTTATTGGTTAGCTCCCATTTTGATCCATTTTGGCTGTTTCGACTTCGCGCGGTAGGGCGTAGTTCATGGTTCAGGAATATGTGGCTGGCTGATGTCCGAATTGCCAATAAAGAGATGTAGCCCATGGTAATGGTAAACTAACAGTTAGCGAACTGGAAAATCACCATGCTTTGAATAATGGAAAATCAACGAACTAAATGCCATGTTCAATAGCAAACTGTGAAGTATGTTAAATTACCGAGGGTAACCAGAATTAACAGTTTGAAATCTTGTCTTGGGGGGTACAGTACTTTTAGGTAAGGTCCCCGCGAGGGCGTCGCGGAGTGTTGTCATTTTTTCATGTTTGCGTCACTGTCGAAGCATCCATGTCATCTCACGTGCTTCCTTGTTTTCGTGTGCGTCGTTGCATTTTCCGCGCGTTTTGCTGTGTTTCTTGACGCTGTTGCGTTTATAGTTGCGTGTTGGCATGCCAGGGTTTGTTCGGGGGGGTGGGATGGGGTGGGGGGGGGGAGGGTGGTGTGGGTGAGGGGGGTGGGGGGGGTGGGTGGGGGGGGTGGGGGTGGGGGGGGGGGGGGGTGGGGGGGTTGGGGGGGTGGGGGATGATAACGTTCTTGTTTATTAACGTTCCTGCATGTGCGTTCTTGACACGCTGTTCATTTGTTTGTGTGTTGTTAGAATAGTTTTGAAAATAAAATGATCTCATGTCTTTACATTTTCGATACGTCTTTGTTGCTTATGTTCATGTCTTCGTGTCACAAGTGGAATGTTGCTTTGTTTCATGGCTTTCACCTTGGTTTTGCTTGTTGCGTTGTTCTGGCTCATGTCTGAGACAAACGAAGGTAGGAAAGAATCGGATGAATGTATGCTCACTTTATACATTTACAGAATTTTACAGACATGTATATAGATATGAACATATATGATATATATATATATATATGAACTACATGGTGAAGGCACTGCATATACATATATATATATATATAAATACATATATATATATACACATACATACATTTGCTGTATTATATATATATATATGTCTATATATGTATTATGTGTGTATATATATATATATATATTTATGTTGTATATTTTAACTACATGGTGAAGTTGGCAGTGGCGATCTCAAGAAAAGAACGACTGTGTCTCACACCTGTCCAAAGCTTTGAAAGCAATGTACGCGCGATGAGGTTTAAAAAAAGTTACTTCGGAGACCCCTCTTGGAAGATGCATTTTTAAAACCTTCACGAAATGCAGGTTTTAAAGGCGTTGTGTGTTCAAAAACGCACGACGCCTAGGAGGGGACCTTCCCTAGTTTTAACTCCGTTCGATCGCTTTGGATCTCCGTCGCATCAAATCCGCCACTTTTTGCTCCGTTGATTTGGCTCTGGTCATGGTCCGCACCTGAGTCGGGATGGAGGTTTTGAGTTTTCCAGGACTCTCATGTTCGGCAGAGCTGGGGAATCAACATCTTGGTTTGTCTGAAAGTTATCGAACAAATAAAAACAAATCCAGTAGCTGATCATGGTTGATCATCATATTCCCCATCGAACATGTGATTTTTGGGTACTTGGTATCCCCATGTATCCCCTATTTTGGGACAAACCCACATGAATACAACGAATCAACCGAGAGCTTGTGGACATCTACACTCTGGTATTGAAACAGGGCGTTCTGTCAAAAACATTGATGATATATAGCCCTATCATGTGTTGGGAAACTCTTAGCGGGCAGCTCCTTGGCTACGCATTCAATAAGGAAAATGGATACCAGATGATACCAGTAGCTGATTAGCTCCCTCCTAAGCACCGAATAGATAGAGAATTTACCCACGACAAATGGCGAAGTGAGATTTTGAAGAATATCTAAGTCTCTAAGGCTATAGTAGAATGCTCCCTCTGCCCCTGGGCAACCAAAGAGTGGACTGAGTAAGCTCTTCATTTTACCCCAGGATACTACCTCCAAATGTCAGATTCACCTGCCACAATCACATCCTTTCCTTTCTGGCTCTCCTGAACTTGACTGTCTGGCAGCTAGGGAGTTGCAAAGTGTCAAACAAATCTGACAAACAATGTTGGGCTGCAATGCGTCATCTTGGCTGAGTGAAATGACACCATGGTACTTATCAACCAAGGAGTCTTGGAAGCAGCCTGTGAAAAATTCAGCGGTCTTACTGAACCACCAGAACATGCAGCATGCATCCAGGAATCCAATCAAATCGCCTGGTCCCTTTCTAACATCCTCTGCAGCGAAATTCGTAACTATGTGCAGACTGTGCATGCAAAAGGATTGCCCACGTACCCTGCACCCTCATGCAGATTCACCTGCCACAATCACATCCCTTTTCCTTTCGGCTCTCCTTAACTTGACTGTCTGGCAGCTAGGAGTTGCAAATTGTCAAACAAATCTGACAAAACAACGTTGGCTGCAATGCGTCATCTTGGTTGAGTGAAATGAAACCATGGTATTATCAACCAAGGAGCTTGGAAGCACCTGTGAAAATTCACGTCTTACTGAACCCCAGAACATGCAGCATGCATCCAGGAATCCATCAAAAATCGCCTGGTCCCTTTCTAACATCCTGTCTGCAGCGAAATTATGTAACTATGTGCATGACTGTGCATGCAAAGGACAAGGTATCCCAGCGTACCTCTACACCTCTACATGTCAGATTCACCTGCCACAATCACATCCTTTCCTTTCTGGCTCTCCTGAACTTGACTGTCTGGCAGCTAGGGAGTTGCAAAGTGTCAAACAAATCTGACAAACAACGTTGGGCTGCAATGCGTCATCTTGGCTGAGTGAAATGACACCATGGTACTTATCAACCAAAGGAGTCTTGGAAGCAGCCTGTGAAAACTTATTCAGCGGTCTTACTGAACCACCAGAACATGCAGCATGCATCCAGGAATCCAATCAAATCGCCGGGTCCCTTTCTAACATCCTGTCTGCACCGAAATTATGTAACTATGTGCATGACTGTGCATGCAAAGGACAAGGTATCCCAGCGTACCTTTACACCTCTACATGTCAGATTCACCTGCCACAATCACATCCTTTCCTTTCTGGCTCTCCTGAACTTGACTGTCTGGCAGCTAGGGAGTTGCAAAGTGTCAAACAAATCTGACAAACAACATTGGGCTGCAATGCGTCATCTTGGCTGAGTGAAATGACACCATGGTACTTATCAACCAAGGAGTCTTGGAAGCAGCCTGTGAAAAATTCAGCGGTCTTACTGAACCACCAGAACATGCAGCATGCATCCAGGAATCCAATCAAATCGCCTGGTCCCTTTCTAACATCCCGTCTGCAGCGAAATTATGTAACTATGTGCATGACTGTGCCTGCAAAGGATAAGGTATCCCAGCGTACCTCTGCACCTCTACATGTCAGATTCACCTGCCACAATCACATACTTTCCTTTCTGGCTCTCCTGAACTTGACTGTCTGGCAGCTAGGGAGTTGCAAAGTGTCAAACAAATCTGACAAACAACGTTGGGCTGCAATGCGTCATCTTGGCTGAGTGAAATGACACCATGGTACTTATCAACCAAAGGAGTCTTGGAAGCAGCCATTGGATCCTCTTCGTTTAATTGTTCAGTCATTGTATCCCATAATATTCCCAGTTATTTCATTGAAATCCATTAAATATCATCAAATCAAATCAAATCACAGTTATTCCGTTCATTGAACTCCCTATGATCTTTGGTTAAACCACCGTTTTTGTTAGTTCAACCATTATTTTTGTTGGTTGAATCACCCTTGGTCAGTTGCCCCGTGCCACCGCCCGCGGCTGGCCGCCTCTCACTTTTTCTTGCCGCCATCCATGGCAGCAAAGGCTCGATGGCGTCCGGTGGTCTTGGTGTGCTGACCACGCACGCGAATGCCTGGGACCGCGGAACCGGTTTTCCCATGGTTGCCGCAACAAAACACGGTCCAAATGCTGTTCGAACACATGGAAAAATGTCCCAAGGCTGATCTAAAATTTGGATTTTTGAACTCTTCTCCTATTTTGTGCTAGACCTGAAGGTCGTATAGAAACCAGGGTGTCACAAAACATAGAAAATGACCTCACCCTAAATGTCGAGGCGACTTTCAGGTGCTATAGTTTCATTGAAAAATGTCCGAACCTGGCTGATCTACACCTGTTTTTTTGTTCAATGATTGTTGATTGAGAGGGAGTGAAACAGTCTTATGTATAATATGTAGTATAAATATGTATAACTGTATAATGTATACATCCCTCATCAATGGAAAGAAGTAAAGGCTGCAAGGCTGCAAGGAACAACAAACATGGGTTTCTCAGCTACAGACCACCCCTTTGTCTTCTGTGGACTACATCCCCCATGTCAATCCATGACGTGTCTGTGTTGATCTCTCCATGTTGCCTAAAATGACCAGGAGAGGCGGCGGACTGGTAGTGATCCTGTGGGGGCCACTGTTAAGGTCTATGTAAGGTCTATAATGTAAGGCCCAAGCAACTGAAAATCTCAAAAACGTCTGGCCCAGCGCCAGATATAACTGGACTGTATTACCCAGTTACAAAGTTGGATGATCCTCTTAAGTAGCACGAGATATACCGTACCAATGGAAAACTAATGGAAAACTAAGCTTCCAAAACCCAGATTAGTTTCCTAACACTTACCTCTGTCAAAAGATATGTTTCCATATATTTCCTATGTATTCCTCCATTTTGACCAACATAATTCCCTGTTTGCCAAGTCCATCGTTGAAGCTAAGTGGCCCCAGTAGTGTCGCAAACCACGATGAAGGCGGACGCGCTTCATACGCTCAATGTCCTGGTGGATTTTCCAGCCTGGATTGGCCCAAACAAATGCCACGATACAACGGGTGGCCAGCAACTATTCCTGTAAATTATGGGTTGCAAATAATCCATTAAACCAGGTAGTACAATTCCCTATGGGGTATTCTTAATGGCTCATATGATATATGGTACCAGATGAGACCCCCTAAAAAGCCAAGTTGGTAAACATAAGTAGGTGAGTTGCATGGTGTATGGTAGATGCCAAACCAACAAAACATAACGGGCCGCACCCTGTGTAGCATCATGACAATCAACCAACTAGCATCAATGAATAGCAATTGTGTATTCAGTCAAGTATATATGTCATATATATATATATACACACATACCCTCTGGTAAATTAACATAGACCCTGGCAGTTGTTGGGGCTGGAAGACTAGCGAAACCATTAAAAATTGGCGATTTTCAGGGTCCAACTGTTTATTTACCAGAGGCTATCCAAACCCCAAAAACTTGGAAACCTGGAAGTTATGGAGAAAGCTATCATCGAACTACCATCTTAGAAACACAACTTTCGGCATCTTTTTGCGGGTTGCTACAATCCCAATTTGAACTTATAATGTCAATATCAATATCAATATCAATATCAATACGTATATCATATATTTATTCATATTGCTAATTTGATATAAAATCATTATTTATAATCCTAATTTGTTGGTTCACATACCATAAAAACCATATCACTTGTACATAATGAATACGCGACCTCCACCGTTTGGCTTGCCATCCCCTTTCTTCCGCCATCCAAAAAACCGTGTCCTCGCGCAGGGCCTGGTCCAAAAAGTTGGCGTATTTCCTGAGCCCAGAAGCCAACAACTGATGGGTATACTGCTAGCCATCAACTGGGAATTCAACTGGGCCTATGAAGTTTGGGTAGTGAAAAATACCCAGTTCTGATGAGTAGTTACTGTAGTTCAAGAATTTGGAAAAGCCATCTACTAGAACATGAGAAAAAAGCGTCATGAAGATTGAGGTACCCTATTTTCACACACAAGTATGGATCTTCATCTGGGCAAATCTGGAAAAATCTGGGGAATGGAGCAGTTTCCCCTTACAGAAACAGGCCAACAGCTATGGCTATCTGCTTAAATTGGAACCCTTCACCAAGAGGATGAACTGCTTCATCTTTGGAGAGCCACTTGCTCAACTACACCGCAAAACACTTCGAAATGACTAGAGTCACGCTCTGACAGTATTCGTGTATCATGAGGTTTTCCACCCTGGAGAATCTGTTTTAAAAAGGATCAAAAAGGGCTTGTTTACCCGTTCCATGAACAAGGAACAAATGGAAGCACCATATCGAATCTTTTGCCAAATGTATTCATCCTTCAAACTTCATTTAAAGGGGTTGTATCATCTCCCCTAATATCAAACATATTGGATCTATAGATTCATGAATTGGGCCCATTTCAGTGATGCATCTAATGATAATACAATGATGACAGGATGGAATGACTACCCATATCCATATCCTAATTCTACCTGTTGAAACTCAAAAATAACTTTAAAAATACAGTAACTTCATATCACTTCAAGATCACTCAAAATCACTTTAAACTCACTTAAAATTAACTTAATTCGCTTAAGTTTCACTAATATACTTATAAAATCCCTAATTTTCTGAAAACAAAACACTGGCAAGTTTCACAACGTCGCCCAGAAAAATCCGCCATCCGAGTCACTGAGAAGTCTTGCCGTCCTTGACGTCGCGCTGCCTGAGCGATGTCGCCGCTTTCCAATGGACAGAACTTGGAGTTTTTTCATTTCGATATCACCGACCTGAATATAATATATAGTGATATAACCATATATAACCATATAGTAGTGATATAAGCAACAAAAATGGTGATGAAACCATTTCACGAACCAGAAGTTGGGAGATTTTTGACCAGAAATTAATGGTGATGTTTCACCATTTCACCCAGAAAAATGATGGTTTTGAACTAGCGGATCTAATGGGATATGATATGGGTTGTTATTGGGATTCATAGGAAATTCTGGGGATGCCATGGGGATATGATTTTGGTGAATCATTGGAGAATGAATATAGTGATAATGGGCATATAAATATACCCTCCGGTGTCATTGAACATGGCTAGTTGGGAAGTCCCCGAACTACAGTGGAGGTGTGTTAAGCGCTGCTCATGGGATCTTCCAGTTAGCCATGTTTCATTACCAGAGAGTAGCTTTGACAAGATGCAAACATCTACCCTCTGGTAATTTAACATAGCTATTGAAAATTACCATTTATAGTGGATTTTCCCATTAAAAATTGTGACTTTCCATAGTTATGTTAAATTACCAGAGGGTATGGGACGAACAATATCGAATCCAAATGAATTGACCTTTTGAGTGTCATTTAAGCGCCTATTGGATGTTTCAGAAAAATGATCGGTCTATATGGATTATCATAATTGGGTAGTATAAATTTCATCTATTTCCCATTCATTGGGTGGTATCTATCGCATGGCGTTCTTCGGATGGGATTCTGGAGCTCCAATGATCACAGAAAAAAAGGAGACACCACGAAGCTGGACCAAACAAAATAGGAAAAGAAATCCAGATCCTCCGGTAATCTTTGAACTATAGACACACACATGTGTGTATATATATATATATAATTATATATATATATATGTATGTGAAAGATTGCCGGTTTAAAGATGATTCACATACTAAATGCTGGTGTTCAATAGCTAAGTTAGATTACCAAAGGGTAACCGAAATTCCCTCTAATAAGAACATCCAATTCATGACACGAACTTCCACGTGCTGCGGGGTTCATGAGGAAGTTCAACATGTGTATATAGCGACGGACATATACTTAGAACATCATTTTTCCAAAATATCGGAACCTCTACTTAGAACATCAAAATTACCATACTTAGAATATCAAAAATATTTCTAAGTATTCACTTAGAACATCAGAAAAACAGATACTTAGAACATATCCTTTGATTTTTGCATACTTAGAACATTAAAAAACACATATACTTAGAACATGTCATGTTACTTTGGTAAATCTGCATATATACACACAAATACCTTGGTGAACACCATACTTAGAACACTTTCTCCCTTCACTGCTGCAGCATTATATACCTTTTCTTCGGGAACAATATCCCAAGCAGTCTTTGCTGCAATGGGAAGGTCTCCAGTAATTTGTGGGTTTCCTACAGGGGGTAGTCAAAAAGCATAGGTTTCAATACTAAAATGAGCTAAAATGAATTATATATAATTTTGAATGTTTTGGAGATGCCTCATTTATACATATATGTATGGTTCCCATTGGTTCCCCACTGGGATGTTCTAAGTATAGCTTGGAAATGTTCTGAGTATACAGTAGGTTTTGGGTATGTTCTAACTACTTTTTTTGAAATCCATACTTAGAACATCCCCGCTGTGAAGATTTTCAGATTTTTTTCCAAAGTATGTTCTAAGTGCATGTCCGTCGCTATATGTATGTTGTAGTAATATCAATATATTATATAAAATCACAAAAACTATGACTATGATGAAACAATCATAATTTCTGAGGTATATGCCTGTATTGTTTTGTGTTTCTTGTTGTTGTCGTTGCTGTTGCCATTGATGTTGCTGTTACTCTTGCTGTTGCTGCTGCTGCTGTTGCTGCTGTGCTTGTTGCTGAATCTCCCATCGTCCTCTTTTCATACCCTCCATCGACCATTTGTTTTTTGGCTGAGGCCGAAGGCAAACGATTTCATGTTCTAAGGTCCAAGAAGAAACGTACAAGAATGGGTGGTGCATTCATCAGATGTAAATCCAATCAGTTGCAGTTCTAAACCAACTTACCAAACCCTGGTGTTTGTAGACTGCCCTCAAAGTGACTACCACATGTTCGAGCTGACTTGTGGTGCTGTGAGAATAAATATCAACCAACTGACGTATCTAGTCCTGTAGGCTATTCAAGACTATTATCATATATGTAATCAACAATGAACTTGTCTAAAAATATTGCGAACCCCCCTCAAAAACCCATAATTCATCATCATATTCTCCGTCAAAATTGCCATGAATTGGGGGGTTTCCCATGCGTTTGGATTAAACACATTAAACACATTGGTATCAAAATGATTCAAAATGTACTATGTATATAATTACTATGGAAACAGCTACGAAAGTGGCAAATCCCGCCGTGCCATAGCCTGTTCAACATCCACGCAGGGATCTTGAACTCAAGAGGTTTGCTGACCTCAGTCATCGAACACTCATTAAAAAGCACCCGGAAGGTGGTGGTAACCCCGGTACAAGTTGGTTTACTAAACTCATTCTCTCAATAACTTTACATAATTATGAATATAATAATATATATATATATAGATACCAAGTAATGCTTGAACCATGAAAAAAGGTTTTTTTTGATGACCATGTTTTTTCAGGGTATGATGTGAAAAACCCGGTTTTATGATATTGCAATTTTTAGGTTCCCCAAGTAGATTGTTTCATAAGTTTCACATGGTCCCCCATCCCATCCAATCCAATTTGTTTTCGCCGCCACTTGGATCTACATCCTGCCGGAGCACATGGTGGAGCTGAAACAGTTCCTTGACCTGAGACTTTGGTGGTTGCCAGGGTTTCTGGATGGCCTAGCCCTTAAGATATATGTTGTATAGTAAAATAAGTTTTCATACTTAGAAGTTATACCATGTTATACCCAAACATCTTATTCAGATCAAGACTCCACAGCGTCATTCAACGCGGTGCGCACTGCCAAGAAAGTCCTTTGGATAACACGCAAAGCAGTCCCTCTAGGAGAAACTCTTCGAGCCAACCTGCTCGGTTTACCAATAAAATCTTCTTCAAGTTGGACCCCATAAATGAGCAAGTTTTCTGCCCATGGGGAATGTCGAGCTTGGAGAATCATCGCAAGACATTGGTGGTGTAAGTAATGAAGCTTGGGAACAAGAGGAAATCTCTTGCTCCTCCTATCGTATGTGATACGGGCCAACTCAGCATACAAACGGAGAAACAGAAGCCCCGCACTTCCTATTCTCTCAGCCTTGTCACTTGGAATGAACACACCTTCTCTGTAAAGGCTGCTCACAAACATGTTGATCGCCACTGCAGCTTCGACCTGACAGCAGCGGCATAGTGGATATATGTGATATATCAAGTATCAATGCCGATGCCATAACAAAAAACATCACATATTTCACCAAATAATTCTGTCCAAAAATATTGGTCACAGTAAAGTACAATATAGATTTGAACCAAAAGGAAACAACATCAAAAAAAAATATGTTGAAGAAAAACTTGGTCGAGAAACACACTTCAAGTATAGTGGGTCTGTTGTCCGGCCAACAACGTGTCTCGAACCCCAGTCTTGAAACCACTGGTTGATGAGGCGTGTAAAGTCACCTTTGCTCCAACTACCATCAGGGCAGTCCTTGAAAGAGTTTTCCACACCCAGCAAAGCCTTTGTAATCTTTTTGTGGTATGGAGACTCCTTGTTTTTGGAGCAGTAATCTTGGAAGTCCATGGTAATCATGCGAAAGGACTCCTCAATGGAAGCTTCCACCAGTTCAAGGCATGTGATCACTGCTGAGGATGCAAAATATTTCCCAACACCAGAATGGAAATTGTGGAACAAGTCGAACTTCCACATGTCAGTTTGATCACCCGAATTTTCAAATGGTATTTTGAGCAATGGGCTCGGGTTGGTGTAGGGGCGTACACATCCAACTGTGCGTCTCCAAATTGGAAATTCTACACCCAGTTCCTCAAAAGGTACATCAACTTGGATACCATCAGGAGCATAGTCTTCCTTCCCTGCAACACAACGGTGACATATTCCAACTGCTGGTGTGCGACTGGAAGGTGCACGGGGACGGCGTGTAAAACTCCGTTCAAAGTTCCCGCTTTTCCCCAGAAACGGGCTGTCTCCCTTGATTCCAATACAACAGATGTAGTAGCGATCACCTTTGATCTCCTCACCTTTCCAAAAAAGCTCAGCAAACTCTGTCGCTTGCAAATTCAGCATATGTTCAAATGCTTCTGGACAATCATTGTACATGTTGATCCCCATGACACATTGCAAAAAATGGTTGCAATTGGTGTTACCAATGAGGTTGAGACGAAGGGGCCCCAAAGGGTCTGCCAACTCCTCTTTGGTGTGGCTAACTTGTGAAGCCTTGGTTCCTTTTCCAATGACTCCGTGTGTGCTGAGTACCATCAGCTGTTTTTTCTTCAGGCCCCTCCCCTCGTCTCCATGGTAAAGAACTGGTATGGTCATGCACCTTTGGAAACCATCAACACCATCAGGCCGACCACAAATGACATGATCAGGGTGAAGCTTTTCAAACCGGCCCCAAAAGGTGGTCAGGATCTTTTTCATGTCCTCGAGATCCCGCACACCCACTATGTTCTCAAGGTTGTCATACTCGATCAGGTATCGAAGCCAATCTCTGAATTTGACATATGGGTAACCACCTTTGTTTGGCAAGTCAGTTTTCGATATCTTCACATCGATCGACTGGCCGAACGTTTTGAATACATGGTGCACTCCAGATTCACTTCGGTTTAGGTTCACCCGTCTCATTTTGTCTAATCCTTTGGATTTCACCCGGGTCACTCGTGCCTGGCGAATGGCATCGCGACATGCGACCTCAGCTAGGAAAATGGTGATAGTGCTCTAAGAACCAAGGGGTAGCACACCCAGCATTGTAAGGCTATATGTGGTGGTTTGAAAAAAAACACAGGTCACGCATCCAACAATGTCACTATATGATCGATCTCGATCTTTGTTGCAATGAAAAAATAATGAGGGATGTGAATGAAACCACTGGCAAACTTGCTTGACAAAAAACCTCCAATTGACCCGCCTTTTGTCCCCTTGGCAGCAGCACTGTCACTAGACAACTTGGTGCAAATGAATTTCCTGAATTACAAAATGTATTGCTTCAGCGAATTCGTTTGAAACTGTCAGCTCGGGCCCCAACAACATATGCAAAATGATATGGTTCTTCTATGGAAACCGGTGGTCCTTCTCCACCATATCTCTGGTTTCGGCAACCTTTCTCCGAAATATTTGCAGCTATAAGGGCTGCCTCGAGCATTTGAATTAACCCTAGGTTGCACGACACATGGAGCACGGTCATGTGTGTATAATTTCCCTCCTTGTAAAATCGGAACCTCAAAGCTGGGTTGGAGGTCAATCCCAATTTGTAAACACACAGCTGTTTACCAAGTTTCTCTCTAAAATGGCAAACTTGTGAAAGGCACCTTTGCAAGATTGTCCCTGCATTGGCTGTACATTTAAATCGAAAATGCAAATACGACAAGCAAATCCCTTCTTTCTGGGAGGCAAGTTCTAGCTGTTCCAAAGTTTTGCCTTGATCATCACAGTGGTTGATTTCCGAAAAGTCCACCTCAGATGAGTTGTAGATATTAACCAGAACAAAATACAGTTATCAACATAATTTGGATTTGTTTTACCACCATATGCTGCTACAATTGGGAGATTGTATTTTTGATTTGGGGTCTTAACCTGCAGTTTCAGGGAACCTAGGGCCACCAAAAAACAAACATAAAATTGTCACTTACAACTCAGTATGGGCATGTGGCAGCGGAGGATCGCGGAGCTGGGGCAATAGAAGCGCATGGTGAAGTAGAGAGCTTGGCAAATTGGCCATAACTCCTTTGTGTTTTGGATTCCCATACAAATGAAAATCACAATAAAACATATATGATTCTTTTTCAAAACATAAAAGGTTGGTGAAGGAAATCAACCAATGGCTTCCTAAACGGATTTTAGGGGAACAAACGAATTATTAAACGAAACCATGGTTCCTCTTTCTCTGAACGTTTTCCTTGTACAACGGGGGGCATCTTTTTTGGCCAGTGAGCGGGCAGATGTAAGTGAGCATGTCTCGTAATTCTTCTTCTTCAGGACTAGCTTCATATGACCTCTTCACCATAGCTAAATCACATGACAGATTTTACCACCATCCGGGGCCCCTTGTCTTCAAAATGGCTGTGCAGAAGTTGACACATACATGATATAAAGGGAACACGGGCATGCATGCATACAACCCTGGTTCCAAAGGGTGCCCCAAAATTAAGATATCGAACCATACCAGGAACCTGCCCAACTGAGATCCCAAGCACCATTGCCAATCATACGAGCGAAGCCGTGTAACTCAGGCTCTGCACCTGGCATGGGACAGCAGCTGCTTGATGGCGGAGGTAAGATTGTGTGGGGTGGGGTGCAGGCAGCCTCTGCAATATGTTGGCTATTTTACCCATTTCACCATCCAAGATCGCTAAGATCAAATCGCAATGAGTTGCCTGAGACTGCACCGTTCAACCATTCTGTTGAAATATGGCGCTTGGATCAATCAGGCTGCAGGTATCATTCCAACATTTACTGCATTTAGCAGTGACCCAAAGATAACCCAAAATTTGGCCAGACATTGCCAGGTGACAGGTGACCTTTAGACAAATGTGTCTAAAAACACATTTGAACCGATCTGTATGCCACAACTTCATGTGACAGATCCAATCTAACCCTCAGCTTCAGTGTTGTCAGCATCACGCTTCTTCTTCTTCAAGTTCTTCTCCAGAGCCCTGGGTTGGGCCATCTAGATATATTAATACATGTCGATGGCATGCATGAGCAAATTATGAACACTTATACGGCTGTCCATGAATAGAACTCAACACTATAATCTGTTATTGAAATAGGTGTAGACTGCATGTAAACTATTGAACAACTATGTGTGAATCATTTGTGTCACCTTATCCACTTGCAGGCAAGTTTCTTCGCTTGAACTTCGACTGATGCAAGCAGGGAAGCCCTCAGAAGTGGACAGGAGGGTTGGTAATGATATCTATGAAACCCATGCAAAGATAAGCTATACGGGTATTCATATGCATGGAGTTTAGAAATGGAATATGTCAAAAGAAAAGTGGAGGATGGTTCCAATCCTGCATCATGCTGCGACTCAAAATTGTGGAATTCCAAATGGGGTTGAACATGATTGAAACTTAAGGATTTCCTACTTTCAAAAGTCTTTGGCATGTTGATTGCTGGCTAGACACTTTTGCATGGCCACACGCATCTTCCCTTTGAGATCCGCAGTAATCCTTGGCACATGGGGAACCACGGGGAACCCATGGATGAGGAACATGACAATTCAATGGGTTTAATGAATCTGGGATATCACCAGCAATTGGGTGGAATAAATTGGGGGGCTGCAACAATGCATGCATGCGTTCAGTATGTTTGTTTATTTAGTTGGGAACCCATATATATATAATTTATGATATATACAGTAGATCATCGATCTTTATATATATTATATAATATTTCTTGATCCCATATATATATCCCAAAATATTGAATAAATTAAGTATTGATCCCAACCCCTTTCCAGTGCTATAGAGGTTCTCTTCCGAACGGGACTCCACCTCGGGTGCTGCCGCCCGTGCACCAGCAAAGGAATCATATGCTGCCTGTGCCGAAGACAGCGTTTTCTCCAAGGCATCGATCGACCTGGGGTATGGCCATGGGTTTTTTTTAGGGACCAAAAAGTGAAAAACCATGGGAATCACATAGAATCACATTTTATATGGAGCTGATGCTACAGCACATGTTGATTGATTTTGTTTGGTCTAGATGGTCTAAGTATAACACTTCTTCACTCGGCTCTGGTCGGATCCATCAGATGTAGAAGTGAAGGAATCCAGTCGACTGATCAGGTCCGTGATTTTTGACATCTTCGTAAGCATTCCGTCCTGGAACTTTTCCTCCACTTCAATCTCCTTAATTAATGGTGTGGGCAAAATAAAATGAAAGTATTGGGAAGTATTGGGCAAGATATCCATTGTTGTTTGACCTTGGTAGGACAGTTGACCAAATAAAAGTTTGCAAAGTGTCTCCCTCTGCAGGGGCCTGCACCTTACCCCCATCCTCTGGTTCAGTCTCACGGGTTGGTTGGATCCAGTCATCCTGCAGCTGGACCTCACCATCCGCCTGCACCAATGGGCTCATATGATGATAATTCACTGGTTTCCACTAATCTGCATGTATATATTTTTTTGTTTTGGGGAAAAGCTGGAACTGGATTATATATGCATGCATGCTAGTATCATGAGGATCCACATCGAAGGATGTAACACCCCTGCATGAATGCTATCTCACGAACATGCCAAAACCTACTGGAGGACATGATAAGGATATAATATATAGGTTATGTTGACAACCCTGTCTCCCACCTCTCCAGTGGAAGAGTGTTGATGGGATTCCACACGGCTCTTCTTGCTCGACTCCTTGTCAGAGTACTCCACGAAGTAGCGGAACACTTTGGCACTGTACTTATCGTTCCTGAGCAAAGGTTGTCATGAATCAGTATAATGGATTTTCACCTGAAAGAATAGAACTAAAAGGAAGTGGAACATGGAATGAATGAAATTCTCAATTAAAGTTGTTGGGGCTATAAATGTATAATATGTGGGAAAGCTGGCCATTTAGACATTCATATATTTATTTTCCATATTGCACATGCATGATATACCCTGATACATGTATAGCCTTCTCCAGCCCAAAAAATCTACCAAGACTCTTCACCAAGCCGGCCTTTTTGCAGTAGGCCACGACTTCCTTGATGTAGGGCCTTAAGTAGGTTCCCATGTGACGGACATGGGGCTGGTAATTTATAGCCCCTTCAATCTGTGATGGGCAAAAGCATGAATTGATTCCAGCTAGCTAGGATGGACCTTTCTTAGATGAACATAAGTCCAGCGGTTTACAACACCAGTGTTTCACAACATGTGTGGATCGAATTTGTTTCTTTTGAAATATTTCAAAGAGGCCAACCAAGACACTGAATAATTACTTGCATGATCGTGTAAGAGTGGCTAGGTTTCTCCCAACATAAACAGTACGTTCTTTCAACACTAGCGGTATGTATGAACAACTATGCCATTGAGGGCATGCTGGTCTTGGAGTATAGATGACAGCACGTGGCCAGCCCATTTGGCATGAAAAGCCAGAACGTTATGAACTCACTTGAGTTTGTCACAAACACAGTGGAGATCAACTATGACAAACTTCAGAAGATCTGAAAGTCAAGAGGTTCCTGCTCAAGAAGACACAATTGAGCGACAATTTGAACTGAATCCCGAATGCTCAGTTTGTGTGGCATTTGGATTCACTTGGACCGTGTCTAAAGCTGAACGTATACATCTAAAAATATGAAACAACATATTCAAAAATTAGTCCGTTAGTAAGCAACATACATGAGATCAACAATTTATAGTGCCCCCCACCCTTCTCAATTTGTGCTGGAAAGTTTCGATGACCAGTGCAACTCCGCTTTCATTTGGTCCGTGGTGAACCATCCTTTGAGAATCTCCTGGGTGTCCTCCTTGCGGAGCTCGATCATCTTGGTCACCTTGTGGACGAATACCTCCTGCAAGCGGTTCGGAATACATATATTATACCCATAATATCCTGGACCAATACCCAGCTTCCTATAGATATGATGTATGGTTGTTTGTTGTCATATAATATAATCCAATGTTGAATAAATTTAGTTTCATAATCATATCGCTGCCATAAACCCATGAATACTATTGAATATCTCAACTGCCCAAAGTGTTCAACAAAATCGCATCTATAAATCAACAGTTGGATCCTTGTCGAAATTAAATTCTTCAAGAAGGGCCCTCAGCTCGTCGCGCTGTTTGCCTCCGGCCATCCATTGCTCGTGAATGGCCTGTGGCACTCTCACCTTGCCACTAGGCTTCTTTTCGCAAAGCCGGCGTAACCTAGCGTCCACCATCTTGTAGCGCTGCAAGGCAAGACGAATGCCCTCAGCATCAGAGTCCTCGTCCTCATTTGCAGCAGGTGCCGCTGGCGCAGCCTGGTGCTGATGAGTGCAACATGTTTGTGAATATTAGGTCAAAAAGGGCTGGATATTACACCTGGATGCCAAGAACACATCTTAAAAGAACTTCCAACCATAAATAGATCGGTGTGAAACTGACATTCCTTAAAATTTGCATGGGCATGGATGCATGGGCATGCATGCATGCATGTAGCAACTCTTATACACACTCAAATATATTAGCACATGGGAAATGTTGAAGCAGGCCTTTGCTTTGGCCTTGGCCACTCCACTGGGCGGGGTTGCACTGCTTTTGGAGGTAGCAGGCGGAGGTGTGGACCCTTTGGCAGCTGAAGATGGTGTTCCCTTCGTCCCAGCTGTTGATGGGGTCCCCTGTCCACCCTTCAACAACTCAATTTGCTGCAGGGCTGCCGCAAGTTTAACCTCCAAGCTCTTGACGGCATCAGTGTCCTTCAAATATGAGAGACGATGACAGCAGTTATATGATCATTATATATAATTAAATTTAATATATATATATATAGGCTGTATAGCTTCTATATGATGCATGAGTATTACACATGCAAGCAAGCAGTGGTTCAGAGAAGTGATGGTATGATCAATCCTCCTGATAAGAAAATGTTTTGACTTTCCCAGCGCTGAATGAATCACAATTGTTCTGGGTGATGATTTCATGGGGTCAGCCCGAACCCAACCCAAACCCATCACGATCCACATCCTCAACGGTTGAGCCAGTCTCACCAGGAGCGACCTTGTCCTGGGCAGGGGCCATGTTTGGAGATATGGATGGATTTTCAGAATAAGCAATCTGGATTCCATTTGGCTCAATAAATCTCAATTGATATCTCAAAGCTTGAGGATAAGATGGAAACCCTGCTCAGAGAATACAATGGTTGACCTTTTATAGATACTGATTGGTTGAAATTCTCATACATGAGGGGCCAGTGCATGAATATAACAGATCCCAGCCCACATAGCCTTCCCATCTCCACGGGCTTTCTTGACAACTGCCAAACCCTTCACAGGTGTGCTCTTGGTGGACGGTGGAGGTGCACGCTTCGACTTTGCCGAGGCCAGCTCTTCTTCTGTTGCCTAGGTTAAGGGCCAATGGGCAATGAACATGAACCAGAGAGAGAGAGAGAGAGGCACATATATAGATTTCTTCAATACGTTTGGGAAATGTTGGGAATACAATACGGAATCGGAATATATATGTAGCATGATGCAGCCATGTTGCTGGTTGAGTCTCTTCTTCCTGAGCTTTGATGCAGATGGGGTGCAGACATTATTGCTTTCTAGTTTTAAGTGGTGTAAACATGTATATGTTATGAATTTTGTGATATAGATATATGACAAGGATCCTCCTCCATTGAGTTCTCCTCAGCCAGCAAGCGGGCAAGTTCTGCTTCCATGGCCTCCAAATCCAAAACGATGCTCGATGGATGGGATATGCTATGAACCCAATGTATGTATATACTTATATATGTGCACAAGTGTCCCGTGCTAAGATAAACTCATATAGGCTATTTTTTCATCCTGATGTTCCTCCTGAAAACTGGATTGCACATGCTATAGGACATGATATGTTGATGTCGACCCCACCTTCTTCTTCTCCTCGATCTCATATTTCCGGTCCAACTTGCTCTGCTCTGTCTTGACAGCTAGCAATGCATCATTGCCAGCTGCCAGGGATCCACAGCTACGGAGCTTTGGTGACATAGGCGACACCCGTGCGTGGAGAACTGGGGCCAGGTATGGGGACGATCACCGATCTAGTTTGATCCAAATCAAGTAGATGATACAAAATTATAGATGGTATAGGCTCATCAACCCTATGAACATCAAGCCATGTGCAACTTCTACGTGTACAAAGCAATCATTGCATGACATCACATCCTGAATAACTTATTAAATTTTCCATGAGCTCTCAGGTTGCTCTTGCGACTTGCACCATATGATGCAGCACGGACCAGCAGGGTTCAAATCTGGTTGAATTCCAACATTTTTCTGCAAGTTTGTGAAAAATGCCGATTTTCAAATTACGGATAAATTACGTAAAACTACGTAGAAGTCTACGCATTTCTATGGGTTGTCTACGGGGTTTCCACGGGTTTTCTACGCCTACGGGTTTTTTTACGGGGTTTCTACGCCCAATAACCTGGTTTTCAAACCCAGCGGTCAAAACTGCACCAAAAGTTTCTAGCAGGGCTCCAAATTTTGTAGAGCTGCAGCTTTTAAAGGAAAACTGCTAGCAAATGTTTCCTCTAGGGAAACAAATGGTCCTTCCATTCGGATGGCACCGTCAAATGTCTGTTGCTGGCAATGTATTCCATGACTTGTGGGATACCAGCATCTTCCCACGTATCGTCAAAAGCCATAGACTTGTAGAAACTAAGGGGACAGAAGCGTTCAGGAATGGCTGGAAATTTCTTGGAACATCCGTCCTCCTGAAGCTTTGGGAGGATCCTCAGAAGTCGTAGGCCAAAACGATAAGGATAGTGCCTCGATGGAGCTGTTATGGGATGGTAAAAATGGATCATGTATCCCCAAATCTAATGAAGTTTAAGAGGTTTGAGCTACCACCCCGTGCAAGTTCACCCATTAGGAATGTTCATCCATCACCATGATATATATATATATATTTTTATTTATTTTCAAATCAGCTGCCACTCCTACTTAAGGGTAAACTAGTGAACTTACATTCTTGATTGGTTGGTGTAATTTGTATGCCCTTGACAGTTCCCCCATTAGCCATGAATGAATACGAACAAAGGTGCGTAATCGACCATTCCGTATGATTGCAGCTAGATGACGAACATTTCCATAGGTCCCCGTGGCCAGCCACCACCCACACACACATCGAACAAACAAAAACATAAAATATAATTAATCATAAACCAGTGAGAAAAGTTTGACTAATCATTTTGAGATACTGGGATTCCTTCAACTGCTTTCTCTGACCCGTAAATTGGCGTTTGCCACTGCTCTTGCTAATGGTCTTCTTTGTGGTTTTGTTCTTTTTGTACTCAGAGCTTCGGTAGTTGAAACGGAGTTTCCCAAGGTCCAGGAGGCCAATTCGTTTAGAATTGCACCACATGACGTGCCTTTTGGGCGTTTTGGACAGGTAGTTCGCCATCCACCACCGCGCTGAATAGGCCTGGAAATCACACGCGTGGCAACACATGGGAACCGATGTAGACTGGAGCTCAAATCATTATATGTTTGGAAAACAATAGGTTGATCATCCTTTTAGTTTGAACACTTTGTCGTTGAGTTGATGCCAAAAAGAAACACTTTGTTTGCCACACATTTCAGATCGATGTAACATTTCAGAACTGCTCATGCTGAAATATAGATGTTTGTCAAGCTCATTTGGGATCTTACCGGCATGATCACGATTTGGTAAGCCATTTCAATGGACTAATCGATCTGGAGGATGGTATTACCTAGAAAATATGATCATATATTTTAAAAACAACAGTTAAGTCCAAAACGTATGAGATTTCAGGGTTGTACCCATGGGGTCCGCCGAGCGTTGGTTTCCACCAGTCACCCCACAGTTGTAGCCTTTAAATTGCAGGGGTTCTGGCACATGCTATTTGGATTTTGTTGGCCCCCAAAAAAAGCGTTCTTATTTTGCATGGTTCAAATCAATTCCAAATCATTTGCTGGTATGCTGGAATATAGATTCTTATTTGGAGACAGATTTGCACTGAAATGCACTTAGATGCATGAGGGGCATGAAATGTAGAATTGTTAATCATCAAAGAATCACACCATGCATATATGCCCAATATGAATTGCTACTTGTTCCCTTTCGCACCCCAGAAATCCAAAGTGCAGACTTCCCCAAATAAGCCATGAAAAATGATTAATTTGCTAATTTGCTGCTACGCCATTGATTGCAACATGTCGTAACTTATGGGTAACATATATATATATATATACACACTCAGATTGTTATTGATATGCATGTTGATTCCTCCCCACATAGTTTTACATCCCTCGGAGTCCCGAAATATCTCTAATTAAGAGGGCATCAGAAACTTAAGTATATTTTTTGGTTGCCGTGAAATTGGTTATAGAAATCACCCAGAAATTTACGATACCAACCAACTCCAATTGGTTAGTTGGGTCTGATGCCACATCATGCAACCAGGGTTCCCTCAAATCGCTGAACACTTCCATAACCCGTGGGTGGAAACGCAGCATGCTGAGGCTGGGTTGCTCCACCATCCAAGTCCCTGCCATTGCAGCCACCAGGTAGAGCAAGAGAGCTAGTCTGGGCTGGGGAGATAGGGTAATCCAAAAAAAACAGTATGACATATACAACATATATAATTATACAATAACCACATTGGATTTGGAGCAACTAACTGCAGGAATTTGCAGATTGTTGGGAAAAGGTCAATATCACAGATTTTGAACCTAAGAAACCAACATATCATAATCATATGCGAAGGACCGGCTCGCCATTTGATTTGCAGCCCTGACGTAACCTCGATCTTCACGTCCAAGTGGGGTGCAAGTGGTCCTACCACTAGTAGCCATATTGATTGTCGTCCAGCTCGAACACACTATCCCAGCAAGCAGCGAAAATGACCCATGTTTTGCATTGAGGATAGTTGTAAGGGCTAGCCTTGCTCGTTGGTTGGTGGTCCAAAAAAATAAGCTGATGAATTGCTGTAGCATTTGGATAAAGCTGATGTATCTCTTTGATTCTCTCAAATTCTCACACTAAGAAAAAAAACACAACAAACCATCAGTACCTATAATATTTGCAATCTAAGCTGCAGGAATCCTGCATCTGTTAGGATGTCAAAGTGGTTGGACCGGTGAGGATGGTCAGGGTCAACCCGGAAATATTCAATATCCAGAGCAGCGGTGGATTTCCCGGACTTTCCAATCATAGTGGATGCCATAGCTTGGCCAGCCCATAGCTCCACGAATTGATAAGACTGCACAGGTGGGATTGGATGAGGGCATTGCAAAATTTGTCATTTTGTTTCATTCCTGCAAAAATTGTCATGTTGTTATAAAACCAATTTATTATTACATCCAATGATCCATTGCTTGAAAGGGTTTGGTGAAAGTGAGTTGAATATAGCATATATATTTTATCCTGGCTCCATGTGCAGGGTGGACCCAGCTATATATACATTGTATCCATCCACAGCGGGTTTAGCCGTTCCAGCCTCCGTCAAAGTCTGCACATTTGAGGACCAAAGAAGTGCCAAAACTAAAGTAATGAAGACCTGGGAGTCGTTGCTAGGAGGCCATATACTACATAAATTGTATGCAGTGAATTTGGATCATATTCCCTATTTGCGTTTAAAGATGTTTAAAAAAAAACAAAACATCAAATCCTGACTACATATCAAATCCTGACTACATATCACAACGTCGTTTCCAATTTCAGTTACACTACAGTTCGGGATGTTTGATACCACATGAGACCAACAGCAGACCCCTTGCTGAGGGATAAACTTTTGGAGCCCGAACACAGGCCAATCTCCATACCAGTGCCGGGAGGGTAAGTCTGTTCACCATGGCTGGCACCGGATATTTCCAAGATCCAAAGTGTCGAGAGAACACCTCTCCACAAAACCACTAACTAAACCCCTGAGATACGAGCCAAAGAATCTGTACAGATATGATGTTTGGAAAGGCACAGATATAATGTTGGCTTCAATTAAAATACAATTAATTATATATTTAATATGATCATGCATATAATATATTATGTGTTGCATCCATTGGCTGTTTGATGCTGTTTGATGCGTATTTCCCATGGTAACTTAATGATTGATTTTTCCGAACCCAACGACCCATATGCTAATATGTCCTTAAGTCATGCCAGCTTGACCACCCTCATTCTCACACCCTGCCAGTCGGGCTTGCCAGGCTTTGCGCTTGACCATCGCTTGGGCACCTCAAAGGAGGACAAGTGGCACACTGGCGATGGGAAGTCGGGTGAGGGAAGGCATTGCTTGATAGTCATGTAAAACCTCATTCAACTTTAATGGATGTGGTGGTGGGGCATTGTGCCAGCAGCAGGCAACTAAGATCTAAGGCTAAACATTTTAAAAGAAAACAAACCTCCTAAGAGTGGTAAAAAGTTGTCCTCCCCCAGGGGTGTAAAGACATTGGGCACCTGAAAAAGTACACAAGGTTTCCCCCATTCCAGATTTCAGATTCCAGAGAAAACCAATGAGGTGGCGGTCATTTTTTTCTTGCCAAGATCGCTAAATCTGCAGGTTGTAGGCCTGGAAGCATACGCAAGTGCTATAGGCCCAAGTTACTGTTCAATTGATGGCCAGCACAGGACGGAACACCATAGGAGTCAGTGACACGATGATACCATATCATATATAATTCATTTAAATGGAATACCTTAAGATATTTTATAAATATATGTATACATGATCCAATTATATCTTCAATAAACTGGAGGATTTAGGGCATTTATGATATCTCACCCAGTTTCCCAATTGATCCTTGCAAGCATGTATGATCAAACAATATTGCATGGTGTCCCATATTGCAAGGCCCTAACAATTGATGACACCCTAGCAGCAACTTGCATGCGCAGCTTGGGGCCATGCCCACATGTAGCAAGAAACTACATCGATTTTCTCATGTTGACAGTGTCAACAGCTGGAAACCCAATTGGCTTCAACGCAGTTCTGAAAGCACAGCAAAACAATGAAACTGCCTAAGAGACATCCTGTACTACGTATAATCCATATAAACATGCATGCAAGCACTTGGATACGATATGGGATGTTCAAATGGTACAAATAAACCGTTGATAGTTGATATCGTGCATGTATATAGGTGTTGCATGTTGTCACAAACAGTCAACAATATATATAGCGAGAACCTCACACTGAAGCCACCTCAAAATTACACTTGTGTTTCAACCTCATGTAAACTATTGTTCAAAATCCTCTAGGACCTTTCCAAGAGAATGGACAATTGAAACCGCAGTCACAAGATCCTTCAGTGCGTCTTTGAAGGCAGTAACTTCGTCAGACTCCGCCTCTTTGCACTTTGTCCCTTTGTCTCCTCCCATGTAGTCGACCTGGGCACAGACGCAGTGGGACAAGTAAGGCACTAGTGAGTTGAGATGCTAAAAAGTATATAAATATATACCCAAGGCCTATGTTGTATATATATAAGTTAAACTTGTATTGGTCCTGCACTGGGGCAGGCAACCCCTGGGGTATAAATTTTGGTTTATGTTTTTTGGATTCCATAGCTATGATGCTTGTCAAAAAGAAGGTGAAAAGCACATGCAACCACATGCATGTTGATGAAGAAACTCGCACAACATGTGTTCAAAAAGTTTCAAACAAAACTGATGTATGTGCTTCCTAAAACAATTAAGATGCGAACAACCAAACGGCACGCCATGTAGGGGATGCCAATGTGCTGACAATGGCCACCACCATAGCTCATGAGATGCTTGGACCCACCCCCAACCTGTTTCTGAAGTAGCCCCACACGACGGGTACGCCAGTACATGCTGAAGCTGAAATGGGTCATCATTTTGGTGTCACAGCTTCGCTCTGCAACTTTGGTGCCCTCGAAAAGTTTGATCACAAAAAACCAGGCTGAGGAATCTTGTTTGGCTTCAACCAAATGTTCATGGGCCCACTTCTGCAACTTTTGGGATGGGGGTCGAACAGGTTTGATCTCCTTGTCACCCTCCTGGTCGCCCTCCTTGCCACCCTCCTTGTCCGTGTCCTTGCCATTCTTGTCACCCTTCTTCTCATGCTGTGAAGTCTTTGCAAGTTCCTTGGCCGGGAATTTCGGGTTCTCAGTGGAGCGTCGGGCTTTGGGTTCCTTGGCTTTTGACTTGACTGCAGCCCGCTTGGGCCTTTTGCGATCTTGCTTGACCGGTGGGGAGGGAACAGATCCATCCGTGGCCTTTGCTGGGGTCACAACCATATCATCATCATCCTTGAAAAGCTTTCGGCGCTCTGGGGTATGCATAGGTCTCTTTTGTGATACCTTCTGCTCATCAACCTCCATGTCACTGTCAACTGATTTCTTTGTTGGTGAACTCACTTCCCCATGAGGTTCAGGAACAGTCTCGGGGTCAACAACTTTTGCCTTTCCTCGTCCCCTTCCGCGTCCTCGCCCACGTCCCCCTGCCTTGGGAGCTGGTTGCTTCTTGCCTTCCTTTTCAGCCAACTTGTCAGCTTTCTCCTCTGCTGCAACCCTAAGCTGCGGCCGTCGTGTCAGAACCTTGCCAGGGCATTGGGTCAATAAAACATAATTCAACATGAAACACACATATGCTTGTGTCGAAAAACAAACATTTCTTGGCATATATGAGATGATTTGAACAACTGTGGACTACTTTGTGTTGTTGATATTATTGGCAACATTTTTTCATATCGCAAATATAACATGCAGGCATGAATGCTTATAAATTACTGCGCTATGAAAAAATGTCGAAGATTGTCAGAGTGACAGAGTGACTTGAAAGCACATTTGACACGCATGCATTTAGAAAATCATGCGCATGCAGAGTTCGTGTATGTCACATGGGGCCCCGCCTGACCACCCGCAGTTTCATGTTCATGTGGTGTAAGATCCTTTGAACCACCCGTTTTCATTTGGGATTCTTCACGCTCTAGTAGAACACCCACAGAGCTAGGGATCTCATCACTGTCCAAGTGCATGGGCAACGTTTGGTCACAATCACCAGCAAGTGGAAGGGAATCCGAAACCAGCCAAACCTGCTTCTTGTCAGTGCTTGACTCCGCAGGCACCACCTCTTTCTTTGCACACCTGAGCATGCCCCCAGGCACTTGGAGACTGAAGGTTAAACTTCTTGGCACATGCAGACTTCTGGACTGATTTTAAACCCTATGATAACCTGATGAAATGATGGATCTGAACACACAACAATTAAGTATATACATATTATAAAGCATATGCCAGAATATTACGTAACTTCCATATTTTTTTGCGTCGAAAGAGAAACACATCAAGAATTCAAAGCTGCTGTGATAAAATATATAGACTATATAATTGGTCACACCTAAGCCCCCCACACATCCACCGATGTCCTGTCCGAGTCATCCTCCAAAGCCGCAAGCTGTGCTTTCAAGAAAGCAATGCGCTGTGCCTTGTTTGCCTTGCTGTCAACCGGGGTTGCTGGCACAGATGCTGGGGAGTCTGCAACAACAACTGGGTCCATCGACGAAGGTTTCTCCGGGGTTTTCTGATCATCACCATAGTTAGCCAACAGCTTCTCTTCAGAAATCTTGAGTGGGCGTGCAACAGGGCGAACAACCTCTTGGTCAACATCCTTTGGAGGTGAAGTGGGAGCTCCAAGCCAATCAACATCCTCATGAAACTGCAAAACTTGGGAATCCATCGGGAGTTGAGAATCCGTGGGCAGTTCTACTTGGGAATCCGTGGCAGGTTGGGAATCCTCAAGGCTGTCTGGGAAACCATTGAGGTTCTTCTCAATCATCTGGTCAAACCATGAGTCATCCTCACTTTCTGACTCTTGGTCATCGGAGTTAAAAACCACCAGGTCTTCAGGCCCCAGGGTATGTCCATCCTCCCCCATAGGCAACTCAAGTCCATCTTCATCAGCATCATCACTGGCTTCTGAAGGTACACCATGTCGATGGCGAGGCTGCAGGGAAAAAACAGGCAAAATATTGATGAAAAAGGAAGCAGGTGAATCAATGGTGCTAATGGTACTCGTCGACTGCATTCCAATATAAACATGTATGCATGTATATATTTATGCTAGTGACATGTTCCGCTAACCCAGATGCATACTGACCTTTCCTCCTAAAACATAAAAAATACATGGGTGACCATTGATTGGATATGATGTCCATGTAGTATTGGTACCTTTTGTGGCATATCCAAAAAACAAAGCACAGGTGCATGCACATGTGCGAAGGTATGTGGGTTAAAGACGAAAAATAACACTTACCATATGCACACATGCAGCATTGCAATGTGCACATGGGTTTACATTTGCAAGCATGCATGTAGATATTTTGCAGCCCCAAAACCCATAGAATATGGCCTGAATCTCTGGATCAAGAATCCGCTGGAGCTTCAAGAAGTCACGATCCTGGCGGCGGGGTGGATGTTTCTTTCCAAACCCTTTTGGGATCAAACTGCAAACAAATGTAATGTAATACAAGACGTATAAAGGTGGATGTCTTGATTTATACAAAAAGGATATGGCTCTATCACTATATCGTTGGCTACCTTCACTGCGGTGTCTTAGGCAAACTGGTTCAAGGTTCAATAAAGGCTTCTACCCTTTGGTACCCCACACACACACACAAGTCTGCGGGAGTTCAACTGAAGATGGTAATGAGTTCAAAATGCATACCAAACAAAAGACAAACAGAAGAACTCATGTGGCTAACTAAATTGAACCTAGAATCCGCAGAACCCAAGTTTTTGTGAGTCTTCATCTTGATGAAGCTCAACATGCTGTTGCAGGTCCAGGCATCAAGCTTGATCTTGTCTTTCTGACACACCAAACTCATCTTGTTGCGGTAAATCTTGATCCTAGGATTGGGTGGAACTTACTGTCAGAAGTTGTAAATTGGTTAACATGCCAGAAAATACACTATATAACCATTGGGCCTAGACCACATGTTTTTATTTTTAAAAAAACAATCATTACATACAGATCAAAAAATATCAAGAGTCTGTGTGATCAGACTCTTCAAACTTGGCAGTGGGTGCATCTCATCATGGGCCATACGTCGAAGTAGGGGAATGAGGACATACTGATTGTGAACAGCATCTTTAATGCAGAACCTGATGCTCACTTTTTCATCGGAATCGGGGTGAGGCTGGTGGGATTCGAACAACCTGTCTCGTCGAACCGATACGTGCCTCACCGCAGGGGTATCTTTCCATTCAAGGTGCACTCGTTCCACATCGCAGGAAGGCCGTGGGCACTTGGCTGCCGCAGGTCGAGGCATGGCAGCTGGGTGGGGACACAGCTGCAGGGATCACACTGGGCCAAAAGACTGGCTGCAACAATACAGGGTACCCAAGAGAACTTGATGGGCAGACTTGGAATATGTTTTCATGGATGAATAAAATCAAACCTGAATTGAGTTAGGTTTCAGATCGTCAGCATTGACATGCCGTGCATGATCTCAGCAGAATAGTAAAGTTTCTTCAGGCCCCAGGGCGAGACAAACACATATATGTTTTAACTCAAGAAAATACACATATTAAATCATATCGTATTTGGTACAGGGTATAGTGGATATTTTGACTATATCCACAACCCCTTCTACCTGAGTTGGTCCGGTGGGTGTATCCCAACCGCCGCAGGTCAGCTGAGTTCCGGGCAGATCTCATGGGCTCACCACACAGCAAAAAAAGCGTGGGCCATGTGTCAGCAGGTGTTGTAGCTGTTGCTTCCCATTTTGAAAGATGGCAAAAAATCTAACCCCTTGAAACTTGAAACCCTCAAAGATTTCTACCAGAGGCTTTCTTGGCCATTAATGGATTATATCCAGACTTCAGTGGTGATTGCGTTCACCCAATTGTGGCCGGGCATACTGTTGTATCCAACATACCCAGCATCCAACAAGATCTAAATGCAATAGACCTTTCCTGGTCATAGCCAAAATGGCTCTTGAAGTTGATTGTGCCTGGGCAGCAAATGGTGGTAAAGGGGTCATAGATGGAAAACCCGGTTTTTGATAATGGTTTTTTATCTTGATTGATTTTATGGGTTGTGGGTCCCAAAACCAGGATATTGCCAGAAAACCTTGAATTCCAGCTGTTGGGCCATTAGATGGTAGATGTACATATATCTACCATAAACCATAGAATTTACCTATGGTAATAAGCACTAACTTAACTATCGGTTAAGGGGCTTCACCCAAAAATACTGCTCACTTCTCCCCATTGAATATCATATTTATATCATCTGAGTTTTCGCGCTAACATCCATCCATTATCATCCACTGTATCCATTTTCGATTGGTCAACATCTCAAAATCCCAGATTTTCACGGCCCAAAAATCCCAGTGGCCACAGCCACGATCTTGTTCACTTCATCAGTGGTCAACTCTCCTAGGGCTAGCCGTAGCGACTGGGGATGACTGTATAGCCTCAAGAAAAATGGAGGCTTTACTGGGAACATATAGGAAAATCCTCTATAATTGAGGATTTAATAGCATTTAATAGGATCTAATAGGGTTTAGATAATGGGGTTTAATGGAATTTACCATCTGGCTATGACCAACAGTTTGCAAACTGGAAGCCATGGCCCACAAAACAATGATTTATGATTGTGATGATTTATCTTCTAAGACATGGTGATTTTCCGTAGCTATGTGAAATTTCACCAGAGGGCAATTTATGGGATGTTAAACACTTTCTAATGAACTGTAAAAGTGGTTGGTGGCAGAACCCATGTTGAGCTTCCCATCGAAAATCCAAGCTGTTGGAACTTGTTGGAAACCACCGGCAGGAGGCCAGTACTAGAACTTCGATTGGACATGAAAAGATGCTGGAGAATGAGAATTGCTGTAATTAGTCAGGGTGCCAATAAAATGATAAATGATAAACCTACGAGATGCTGGGGCTAGGAGTACTTCCATCTTCCATGGGAATATCTTCCACTATATTGAAGACCAATTCTATAATATACTATATGCGTAAGCTTGGTACAATCAAGTACAATCCAAGTTTCTCGACCCGCGACTTCGCCCAATTACCAACTCAGTCGTTCAACACAGATGTCAATGAGGTCGCAACTTGCCTTCCATTTTAAGGAACTGCCAATTGAGCCAGTCCCATCTCATTCTACATTCTACTAGTTGGTTGATATGTTTCCCTACGATGGGTCATTACAATCCCCAATAAATTATGTCGTACTATATCAACCAAACAACCAACGCATTTTTAATGGCTCAATTGCAACGCTGAAGTGCCGGATTTTGAAGTTGCTGCCTGAACAAGTATCTTTCTGCGGGATTTTCAAGTTCATACACTTCCATATTTAAGAACAAAACTCAAAACCAAAGCAATAGCGTTGTCATGCTCAATGTTCCCATCCAATTCTGGCACATGGTCAAAATCAAATACTATAGATCAAAATTGCATTGCGGTTCACATCCCCTTTCCAAAAAGCTGGTGATTTTTGCCTCATCGTCATTGATATATGGAGATTTCCAAAAAGTCACAGGGGGTACCCCCATTGCATCATCCAGTCGTCATGGATATGACTTAGTATTTTTTCAAGCTATGGTGACGACTCAATTTTTATCCCCCCAGTGTTTCAGAAACCCCAAAAAACTCTTGGTGATTGGCGAGCTGCCGGCGCGCTTGTTCAGGTCGATATCACACTTTTTGCCTCGGCGAGCCAGGCTGCGTCAACTGTTAAGAACCGATTTTAGGCCTTCAGTGGAAGTCGAGGCCTGCGGATCTTCGGAGTTTGGCTGGGACTCATTCTTGAAGTATTTATTCATTTACAATTTATATATAATATACACATATAATAATATTATTATATAATTATATTATATTATATTATATTATTATATTATATTATTATATTATATTATTATATTATATTATTATATTATATTATTATATAATTATATTATATTATATTATATTATTATATTATATTATATTATTATATTATATTATTATATTATATTATTATAATTATATTATATCATATTATATTATATTATATTATTATTATATTATTATATTATATTATATTATTATTATATTATATTATTATATTATATTATATTATTATATTATATTATATTATTATATTATATTATTATATTATATTATTATATTGTATTATTATATTATATTATTATATTATATTATATTATTATAATATTATATTAAATTATATTATATTATTATATTATATTATATTATTATTATATTATATTAAATTATATTATATTATATTATTATATTATATTATATTATATTATATTATATTATATTATTATATTATATTATATTATTATATATTATTATATTATATTATTATAATTATATTATATCATATTATATTATATTATATTATTATATTATATTATATTATGTTATTATATTATATTATATAATTATATTATATTATTATATTATATTATATTATTATATTATATTATATTATATTATTATATTATATTGTTATATTATATTGTTATATTATATATTATTATATGTGACATCATGATATTTATCATATTCCTTTACATTACATTGTATGATACTACAGCGTAATGTTACATTATATTATTCACATACAGTGTATAGACACTCATCATGCAGTACATATAATATTCTGAAAATAACAGAAAAAAACATCTCAGTGAACTGGGAATATGATTCAAAATCACTTAGTATTATGTATATACATATAAATCATACCCTACTGTATATACTCCAGGATGATTATATATATATACATAATACTCTGGTGTCATTTTGACACTGGTCGAAGTCGAAGTCTAGGCACCGGCCCAAACAGCGTTTTGGGTCCCCGCAGTTGTGGTGAATTCTGGGGTGGTTCCCCTAAATTTTCAGACAACCCCCCTTAGTAATTACTTGCATTATAAACTATAACTATTGAACTGGGAAAAAACATGTATATAATAAGTGTATATATAATATAATCATATATAATCATTATATATATATGTATGTAGGTTATCCATGTTTAAGTCCCCAGTCCCCGTCCCCCCAAACAAACGTCCCTGTTTTATGCTCCGAAAGACACACGATGTTGGAGATACGACGTCCCATACCACGGATGGCCGTCAAAGCGAACATCACCTTCTGCCGCCCATCCACGTTGGTGTTGCACATACCTCTGACTGCAGTCCCAGTTCCAGCGACAAAACAGGGAATTGATGTGAATGTAAAATGGGGATATTTTTTGGGGATATAGAAGCAACAACATATGATTTGATTTTGTGAAAAAAATGAGGTTTACTGGGGTATATAATGGTACATATATATATATATATATACGGTATATCGGTATATACCACAAAATATGCAAGTTGCAAAAGAAAAAAAGAAGCAAGTTTTGGGGGTAGCCTATTGTCAAACAAACCGCATACGAAACAGATAGATGAAACCCTTGTGGAAGGGTAGTTTACCCTCGCTTCTTGAGGAATGTAGAACTGGTATGAGTACGAAATAGTACAAGCAGATTCTTGCAGATTATGTAATTAATTATTGTCAATTAAGCATGGTTGGATAATGTGCACATCCTTCCAAACCAATGGCACAAGTCACATGTGATTTTGATACGAGGTCCCACATAATAGGGGCCCCAAGTTCTGGGATTTCTGGAGTAAGTGTTCTATTTGGGGCATAGGGTCTGTGTGATTTTTCCCTTCTCAGGATGCAGTTGAAAAAAAATGATGGATCCCATCGCTTTTGGGAGGTTCCGTCATGATTTTCCAACTATCCTGGTCCGCTCTTTTGTTGGTTTGTCCGCAAAAGGAACCCACATATAGAAGCCAATAGACATCGTCCCCTGTGAGATTCCTCAGTAAGCGATAGACCTGCGTCCCCAACTGATGGGGTAGAAAGCAAAATCATCGTTGTGATTACACAATTTCTGAGACTATGCCCAGTTTTATTTGGTTTCCATCCGCACTCTTTGTTGTTCATATATACCGTTTCCGAAACATTCCAACACTGTACTTTGGAAGTTCGAGATCTGCTGCACCCAACCCTCAAACAACTCCACCAAGTTTCGCAAAATGTGTTGAAAGTTCTGTGACTGGAACTGCACGGACATCGCGGTCGCTTTGCTGAACCCTGATTGGGCCCTTTTGGCTGAACTTTTCTACGGCGGACCTTTGAGCCAACAATATGTACGACAAGAGTCCAATTCATGCTGCAATCCCTAAGTCTGAGTAAGTCTGAGTAAGTGTGTCTGAACATGGTGATACCCTCTGGTAATCAAACATGGTTTGCCGGAAAATCCCCCAATTTGTTCGCATTAAACCCTCCATTTAGTGCGAGGATTTCCTACTGCTACGTTTGAGGACACCAGAGGGTAATGGGGTGCAAAAACTCCCCATATGGTCATGAAGGTCTCCTGGGAAACCTGGGGAACCGGCGGTTTCCCACGCCAGCCCCGATAAGTTGGGTGTGTCTGAAAATTGGGTATACCCCAAAGTGGCAACTTCATAACAAGGAAAGCATGGGAAAATGATGATTTACTACGGATTCGGAAATACTCTACTTGGGACAAACCAACTTGAGCGCTCTTTCTATGGCATTTCCCTTTCACAGCCCCTGCAGGAATCCGCACGCCTCCCTTCTTTTTAGGTGGAAACCCCTGAGGGCGACGCGAGGCTTTTGTGTTTCTCCTTTCTGGGCAACGCCAGCAAGCAAACCCAATGCACAGATTCTGCGAAGCGAACGCTTGGAAATCCCCCAATATGATCAAACTTTGTGGATCTACTACCCCATTGTAGATCGCCATACCCCCTGTCCCTATCCTAATTCATTATGTATATTATATATACAATGTATAATATACAGTACTGTAACCCACAGGTAGAAAACTGACTTGAAGAGAGTCCAGAGTAAAGTAATCTATAGTATCAATGGGAATCAGCATCCCAAGGATGAAAACAAAGGAATGAAACGGCCATTCAGTGGTAAGCACAGCTGTCACCCGATAATTATGGCTGAAACGTGCTCAAAACAGATCACAAAACCGCTCAACATACCACAAAAATTCCATAGTTGAATGCCAAAAGTGATCAAATTTTGGTTTCAGTGGCACCCCGTTATTGAGCCATATATATAATCATATACTCTTTACACGGACCTTTAGATCGATCACCATATTTATTTATATTACATATACCGGTCGATTCTTCGAACATCGATCTTCGCTCTCGGGATTGCTTCATGGCATCGTGCGGCTGCGAGGGGCACCGCTTCGGGACTCTTTGTGTAGCCAAAGCTGAGCCAGGATTTTGCGGATTGAGCCTTGGAGTAGATAGAATATGATAGAATATGGATATTTCAACAAAATCCGAAGAAAAGTGGGAATATGATTGAAATTGTGATATTTATCTACTTCAGGATGATTATAGGTACCCATTGACAAATGAATTTGATTAAATTTGAACATGAGTCTGTTGGTGCCATTGTTTACATTTGCATCATTTGCTATGGCATCCTGAAATTCATGATAGTTCATGTGCCACTTTCAGTATTTGCATGTATTTGCAATTTCAAATCATCAAGTTTTGTGGAACAATACCTTTTGAGCCATACTGGCCATGACTTGCAACCCACCATCGGCTCAAGCCCCTAAAAGGTGGTGCCCCATTGATTTTTGGTGATATATAAACGCCTTAGCAATAGCATGCTATAGCTATATACAGTATATAATATCATAATGCTATATATAGGCTATATCTTCCATAAACCATAGAATTGACCTAGCTGTTTGCACCAACTTAGCAATCCTTTTGGGCCCCACGACAAGTCGTTCCGAAACGCAGTTCCAGTTCTTAATCCTCCAAGCATCATTCAACACTTGCTCAATCCCGGCTCGTCTTGCTGACTCAGCGCACATTAAGAAGCCCTACCAGTTGTGTCGTTGTCCGGTCGTTGCTGTCACGTGAATGATTCGCAAAGGTTCGCTCTATGTAAGATTCAGTCAGGAACGAAGAAGGGGGTCAAACTATGAAATCACTGTTTTGGGAAAAGATGGTAAACAGGTAAACACCAAAAACCTTCATTCAGGACGGGGTTTGTACACTTTCCAGACAGGACCGAGAGATATGTTCAGACTCGGTGGAAAAGAATTCGGCAGACCTGTTGGACAGTCGACATTAGACCCAACACCTCCCCTTACTTCAATTGCGATACAGTAAAAGATTCTGCGTCTGGCTTGGAGATTGGACTATTGCCATGAATCCGTTCCACTTGGAGGTAGTGCTGTGCCATGCGCAACAAGCGACAACAAACATGAGTTCAGCTCAGTGTGGATGATTGAAATAGCGTGACCATCCACATATCATCCCCCGGGGGGAAGATTTCGGCAATCTTTGGTATCTGGTTGGTGGTTGACCTACCCCTCTGAAAAATATGAAAGTCAGTTGGGATGATTATTCCCAGTATATGGAAAAATAAAACATGTTCCAAACCACCAACCAGCTATTTAGATGCATTGAACTATCCACGTGTTCCATTGTTCTTGGTAATTTACGATGGTTCACTGACCCACCAACCTAAAATGTTGTTCTTTTGGGATTGTGACCCATGCTCAGAGTCAGAGACAATATGAAAGTCTGCATGAAGAGCCTGAGCTTAAGGAAGCTTTGGGACTTGCCCACCATAATAGGTCCAAAAAAAATCCGTTCCGGTGAATTTAAACGTTCTAGTAGTGGAAAAAGCGGACTATGAAGCGATCCACCAAGCCATAGTATGTCCACTGTGGAAATGCCGCCGGCCTCGAGACGCTGGCTTAAGACACCGGCAAAACGGCAGCAATGGCGCTCCAAGATCTGGTAGATATATGGGTCCAGTCCATTTGGTTTTGAGTCTGAGCTCCTCAATAAGATGTTCAATCTCTGTCTCTGACAATCTTGTCGGGGGCATCGGGAGGCTCTGGTCGAAATGATGCCTTCCCTGAGCCATGGGTTGGTCCTTTGCCCAGATTTTCGGGTTACTCCGATGTGGAAAGTTTTGTCACCCACGAAACGGGTCCTTAGTTGAAAACAACGACCGGCCAAGCTTTCCCGCTTTTGGGGACGGCAGCAGGTTCGCATCAGGACGATCGACAAAGCAGGCAGCAAGAGATGTCAGATGGTCCACCAAATCCAGTTCCATGGCCATCATCTTTAATGATATGCCGACAGGTGTACCTCAATTTTGATGTTTGATCCAGGTCCATATCTGGATTAGAAAGTGTAATTTGTGACAAGACCATAGATCACCGAGCTGTTGGGTGGTTATGAGGTGATTGCTGAAAGGTTGGGTGGTACCCCAGCTGGCTGAATAAGTTGGTTCCAAAAATAGGTTCAGCAGGTTAACTAGGCTTAAGGTGATAGATGCGGTTGCAAACCAACAAACATAACTGAGGGGCACCAGCTTGTATATGAAGACGCATCATTCTGCTGATGTTGACCAGTGACGCGTATATACGTGGATATATTTTGTCTATTTTTTTCTAAGACTTTCAGGATGTGCATAGCTCTGACACACATGTCTGATGTCAAACCATTCGATGGCCAAGAAGCAAGGGCAAGCGATTGTTTCTGTTCTGCACTCTGGCAACTGATTCACAAAAAATCATCTACAGTAGATTTTAGATGATTTTAAATGGTTTCATTCGCGAAGCAATTGAAGGGAACATGTACAGGGAAACACCATATTTGGATTCCAAAAGCATGGCTTCGTGTATTCGTCTTCTCAATCAATCCAGCGATTCGTAACACCCTTCAAACAACAAAGCAAAACACGTTTATGGAAAGCCGGCTCCTGTCGCCTCCAAACAAATCTTGGCTATGACTCATGACTCATGACCCAACATGTCAGGATGTTCATTCGATTGCTTGAAGTTTAATGAAGTTTGTAATCATTTGTAATCTCTAGTAACTAGTGGCCCTCCATCAGAATGATCAACGGAAGCTGCGACTCGCTGCACCACCCCTTGCTGTCTGCACATCCCGATGCAACAAAGACTTCAACTGTCAGCCTGGGCATCCCAACGACACCAAGCTGTGGTGTTCTTCTGCACGGAGGAGCCGTGATGTGTTTGTTTTCACGTCAGTGGTGTTGAACCACTCTCTATCAATGTCTATATGCAGAGAAAACATCCCAGCATTAGAGTCATTAGAGATACTGAAACCACCAACCAGCTCACATTGAGTAACATGGAGTCATGCAAAGGTGGATCCAGGGGTGTTGAAAACGCCAACATAGAGAATCACCCTAGTAGCCATGTACTTCTTACCGGCTTCTTCTTCTTCACAGGTTGAGAAGCGTTTTTGTTCTTAATCTGTCTGGTTCGTATCCCTGTTGTTTCTGTTGTGTATATCACATCCAGTTTGAACTGTTCTACTCCCGAGAAACGCTTATGTAGAGATATATAGAAATGTTTCAGCCTAATTGATTCCCATGAACCAATATATGTCCATCCATGTCTATCCCGAACTGACGCGGCTTGATGACTAATCATAGATAAGATAAATAAATAAAACTGAAATTTAGTTGGATAATTAGTTGCCTGGCCCCATTGATGGTTGGGAATTGACCAAGCAACCTACCAAAGCATGGTTTAGATTGGTTTGCTGCGAATTGCTAAGTTGATTTCAAGAAAACATCAACCATATCCATCTCTTCAAAGGGGTCAAAACCAAAATCAAGCCATAAATGGGCCACAAATAGAAAAGCATGGGTGATTTCCCCCCTTATTAATGGTTAAAGAAAACAGGCTGGCTTGAAAAAAATAGCTGTTATCATAGGCCCATTTGGGGATGATTCCCGCAATCCAATTCCCATCATTCCAAGGGCATCACGATGTGAGGTCATTACGATTCATCCATGTTTCTCCATTAACATCACCAATGCCATTGTACCACCCTTTTTGGTGCTTCAATCCCCATGTTCGTTTGTTCCATCACATTTTGTCTTGGTTGTATAATGTTGTATAGTTAGTTATATAGATATAATATATAGATATTAATAATATTATTATTATTATATTATATATACCATAGTATATATCATATATATATATATATAATCCTTTTTGCTGGTTGTTCATCATGTTAGATCCCCATTGTTTATGATGAAAGAAGCCAGTTCTTCTCCGTTCCGATTTTTGGATCTGCCG